ATTTTGTGTTGCATGTATATTGGAGTTGTGGCTCACCTCCTAGTCTTGTATAGTTGAGGTAGAGGTTTCCCTGTAATTATATATACATGCACCAACATTCCATCAATACAACGTTAATTGTATTGCAAACTTTTCCGTCTACACCTATGGCGGTGGTGGCGATCATCAAGAGTGAAGCCAAGAATTAGGCCATCATGGAGGCCAAGCATTTGAGTGTACCGGTGTCGCGAGAGTAAGCTTTGTATTTTCCTGCGATGTGTTGGGCCTCCTTAAAATAATGTGCGCTTCTTAATTTATAAATAAGATAAGGAAAAACTTTTGCCTCCATTTCTAAACCTAAAGGAAAAAAGAGAGTAGAAGGGGGCTATAATATCCGCAACCTGACACTCCATTGAGGATTCATCAGCCCTTCTCAATCTTCTTATCTTGATTCCTGCCCCCCTAAGCTTACCTTTCCATTCATATGGCTCAGGTTGGAACTTACCGAAAAAAGAGATGCCTTAAGTTATAAAATGGAAGTAAGTTGCATCAAGTTTCGAACGAAACGAGAAGAAGAAGAAGAGATGCATGGTAGCACTTCAGGGTCAAGGAAAAGACCTGCACACAAGCAAGGCAAATCACCTAGGTAAGAGTAGACTATATGACCCACGGATATATATATATATATATTTCAGCATGCTGTCGGCAAGGCAAGGTGAGGTATCCTTTCCTTTCCTTCATCTCCATCGCAGATATGGTACATCTTTCGTCTCACGTCCTCCTCAAATAGTAAAAATTCTCGCGTCTATATATACCATACATATATGCTACATGAATGCATCCAAGGTGCAATCCAACCACGACTCGGCTCGCATTCAAGCAACAATAGGAGCAAGTGCAAAAGCAAAGCAAGAGATGGAGGCGGCTGGGTATCGCTCCCGCGTCGTGGCTGAAGTCGACCCCCGCAGCGAATGGGTTCACGGGGACGAGTTCGACACGCTCATCGTCGACGTCTCAGGTACCGTTGCTGCTTTTCCAACCATTTCTGCGGGAACTGAATCCACTCGTTCCAAACACGTTCTGGCATATCGACACGCATGCCGCCGTTGCAGGATTCGCCAGGGACCAGCTCAAGGTCCAGGTAGAGCCGTTGGGGAGCCTCAAGATCAGCGGCGAGCGCGCCCTCAACGGCGGCCGGCAGTGGTGTCACTTCCTGAAGCGGTTCGACCTCCCCGGCGCCTGCGACGCCGCGGCGATCAAGGTCCAGCTCGACAAGGGAGTCCTCTACGTCCAGGTGCCCCGTTCCACCGACGACAGCCAAGAGGACGCGCTGCGAGAGGAGGACTGGAGCGGCGGCCACACGGCGGCGTGGCGTGCCGATGAGCACCCGGCGCGGCGTCTGGCCAAGAGCCTGGGTGAGCACCGGTACGCCGTCTTGAACGTCGTGCTCGCCGTCGTGCTCCTCTGGCTCGTCGCGTTCGCCAACAGCAAGCAGAGCGGTGGGCAGATCAAGAACGAATGAGGCGAGCAACACGCATGCACGCACAGCGCGGGGCAGTCCTACAGCACAGCAGATCGATGTAATCATTTAGTAGTACTTATATATAGCTGATAAAAGGGAATAAGAACCCTGTAAACAGGCAGGATTTGGAACGCGGGATTGTTCAAATTCAAGTCTCAAGATATCAAGCACTATCGGATATAAAGACATACTACTACTACTACATATGTCCCACTTTACTGGCTCTGTATCAAGTTCTTGCATCGATGATCTGAAACGAGTTCAATCTAACCACAGAATATATCATTTAGAGCAACTCCAACGCGTCCGCGCGCGTCCGTTTGGATCGGCGCGGACAGAAAAGTCAGGCCCAACGCGCCGACCCAAACAGACGCGCATCCGCTTTTCATCCATCTGCCGATCAATTCCCGGTTCATTTTTGAGCCGGATTTACGTTGGCGCGGACACGCAACGGCCGTGCGCCCGCCTACTCCTCCCTCCAGTCCGTTGGTCGGTGGCACATTGGCCACCCTCTCCCATTCCAACAACAAACCCTCGCCCGCCTCCTTCGTCGCTGCTCATTTCTCCGGTGACTCTGCCAGCTGCCAGCGCCGCAACATCCCCTCTGCAACGCCGCCACCTCCCACGTCGCCCGCCAGCGCCGTCTTGCCGCCGAGGAACCGAAAGCTTGGAGGAGCGGCAACATTTGAACAGTTCACCCAATTTTATCACGACATGCGTGATTGGGAAACTCACATGCAACTGTAAAATGATTTGATTGAATATATGTGGGCTCATGTGAGCAACAATAGATGTATCTTTTTTTATTCGGCTTGCAAAACTATGTGAGACATTTTTTCTTTTATTCGGCTTGTAAAACTATGCTATTTTATTTGGTTGAAACTATGCTATTTATTTGGTTGTGGACTATATGTTTGCTTGTGAAATAATGCAAAAGTTGTGTGTGAAATAATGCAAAATTTATGCTATTTGTTGAAAAAGGGCGGCCAGCCGGCCACGCCGGCACATATGGGTCAACGTGTTGGGCACACTGCCGACCCAACTCTCAAACAGGCCGGACGCCGGCCGGACGGCCGACCCAAATGTACAAAAAACGGACAAAAGCGCCGTCCGTTTGGATCGACGCGTTGGAGTTGCTCTTAAGGTCCATAAAACTCGTATGCTGATTAGTTCATGACATCATATCGTCACATGTGTCTCTGGACATACGGTCGTAGTTTGAGAAGCACACGATCTCCAACAGACAAAATGAGTCCAGTGTGGTGTTTAGCTGTTTGCGCTATCATGTGTTGTTGAGTCCTCAATAAGTGTCGTCTGATGGATCCAGTAACAACTTTCCACGAAGCAAACCATTGTTGTAGGTCAAGGGTAGCTATAGTATAGGAATATGAAATGCCAAAGTGTCTGGGTTGTTATCCATACACCACTTCGAAAGGAAAGGTTCCAAGTGATGAATGCTAGTTAATGTTGAGGCCGGGGCAAACCCCCCTTTTCGAAAAAAAGAAAAAAAATGTTGTACCAAACCTTTTGCTCCACTTATTTGGATGCGCAATTATGAAGCATTGCAAACAACACTAAATTTTCAGAATAGAAAGTTCACCTAGAGTAATGAAAAGGACTCCCCGACTTTGGTTGCTTTAGACAAAGTCTTCCACAACCCTGCTTGGGATAGCTTGTTCCCTAGTTTCCTCCTACATGATGCATCCCATGTTGTGTCCGATCACTATCCGTTGGTGCTCTTCAATGCCAGTGCGCCGCTAAGACAAAGCAAAGTTCAAATCAAGGGGTTTTGGCCAAGGCTCTCAAGGTATAAGGAGGCAACATCTGAAGCTTGGAACAAATATGTTCGTGCATTGTGCGCATTCAAAAATACAAAGTTGTTGTGCATGGCGAAAGTGCTCTGATGTGGAGCATCCTACGGACATCACCATGTCAGGACCCCGTTCGGCAAGTGACACATGCGGCATCTACTTCACATACATAAAGGTGAATCATCTCATTTACACGTGTTCACTTGACCCCTTCGAGGATGGTATACTACTTGACACTCCACTCGTGTGCATGCATAGGTATTGTCGGAACGGTATGGACGACGAGGAGGAGTGCAGACGCAACTGTACAACTACATTATCCGCGAGGGAGGCGTGGAAGCGAAGACGGAAGAAGACGGAGCTACGGAGTCTACAGCTGCCGGACGACCGGAAGACACCGGACGTCCGACACTCTACAACGACGGGACGAATGACGCGACACCGGACGTCCGATAACCTCCAGCGACCGGACGACCGACATCGTCTGGAAATCCGATGACACCGCGACATAGGCAAAACGTCGGAAGTCTGACGCCTTCCGGATGTCCGGACCGCCGCGAGCCATCGGACAACCGACGTCCCTCGGACGTCCGACACCCGCGCGTGCACAGCTGGGCCTTTGGCCTTGTATCCCTCTCCCACTTACCCCTTCATGGCTAAGACTATAAATAGACCACCCCCACCTCCTTTCTATGGTTAGCATTGGTTTAGCTCATTTTAGAGATAAAGCTTTGCTCATCCTTGTGGTCCATCGAGAGAGACCGCGGCCTCTACGGAGAAGATTCACGCTTGGATTCAAGGCCCCTCACGGGAAGATCCCTCGCGGATTTAAGGCCTCCTCATGGAGATGAACTAGTTACCGTTTGTATCGTCCTTTGGTTACTTTGGATCGTGTATCTCTTTGTGTTCATGGATCTAGCACATGTGTGACCATTTCTCGTTGAGTGATTCCTCTCGTTTCCCCTCGTGTTTTCCCCTTGTGTTCTTCGTGTTCTTCGTGGGATTCCCTCCATTTCATGAAAGATCGGCCTTAGGGTATCCACCCTACATCATCGTGGTATCATGAGCCACGTTGATCACGAATTTGGAGCCCCTACCCCCATTTTCTAGCCTTCTTTTGCTTGATTTCGTCCGAAATTTCGAAGATCCCCACCAAAAATAGCCCCAATTTTGTAGTGATTTGTTGGTTTGATGTTGTTTTGTTGAATTTGATCCATGGATTCGTTGTGTTTTGAGTGGATCTAGCATCTCCACAAGTTTTTCCACTTTCCATCCACAAAATCTCCTCAATTTTATCCCCCAAATCCCCAATTTCCACCCAAAATTGTGCCCCGGATCTGAAATCCCGAGTTGACCCAGACCCGTCGGACGTCCGGACCCTTCCGAAGCACCAAATGTACGACATTTACTGGACGACCGAAACCACGCAACAGTACGAAAACATTGGATTTCTGGTCTTTTCCAGACGTCCGTCCCGCGCTCCAGCCCTTGGACTTCCAACAACTCTCGGACGTCCGACGCCTGTAGATTCTCACTTCGGCTGATTTTAGTTTTGGCCATAACTAATTCATCCAGACTCTGATTTGGACGTTCTTTAGCTCGTTTTGAAGCTCTTGACATCCCCCATCCCACAAAAATACTTTCAACACCATTGAATCCATCAAAATTTTGGAACTTTGACATCTTTGCCTAGGGCCCTCACCACATCATCCGCATTACCACCACCGACTTCCGCAACCTATCCCATTTTGATCCCCATTGCATTAGTGGTTACTTGAGTAGTGATTCGAGTCTCCTAAGGTGTTTCGGCTACTTAGGGACGGTTGATTCTTCGTCAACCACCACAATACCTTCCGCGTAAGCTTGCCCACCATACATTTCCACCACCTCAACTTAACCCCAATTTGTTTGAGTTTATTTGAGCTTGTTTGACTTGTGGGTTGTGTCTCCTAAGGTGTTTCAGCTACTTAGGGACGGTGGCCCCATCCTTGACTCGCATAACCCACCTCCACTTCCGCATTGCCTACTCCAAAACCCGTCATTGCATTTCCACAATCCCATTAAGCTTTCGAAACCACCACCGCATTCCGCTATCACCATTTGACATTTGCCTTTGGAGATTTTGAGTTGTGGTTTTTCCGTTTCCTAGGGTGTTTCGGCTAACTAGGAACGGTTCAACATTGATGACACTGCCGCTCAACTTCGCCAAGGATTCGACATCGAGCACTTCACCATTTTCACACCCTAACCGTATGCAAGAACGGTAACCTCTATATCACCTTGGTATCGTGGTATCCCATCATTGTACATTCTTCTTGCCATTGTATTGATAACCCCTAGCCATTTTGCGTCACTTGCCTGCGAGACTAGCCATTCAAGTATTGCCGGGAACGTTACTTGTGCACATTAGTGTTCATCGATCTACACCTTCCATTGCATACATATCATATCATATTGATATTATCTTGGTATCATATTATCGCTCGTGTCACAAGATTGTTCCCGTATATATACAATTGCTATCTTGGTTTGTGCATTTCGCATTGTGGCCATATAAAAAAAAGAATAAGTTTTTAAGCAAAGAGTGAACAAAGAGCTTGTAAGCAATAGCCATAGCATCATACCACATTGCATATAAGATTGTCATATGTGATCATCTTGGATCATCTAGAGAAAAACACCGGGAATCATATATACATAGCATACTTGGGATAGAAGTTGTTGCATTTTTGTATCTTATTGGTTGTGCACAAGTGTCGTATCCGCCTATTGAGCAATTGTACTAACGTCTCTTTAGAGTTGTGCAACAAGAGCATTTTTCGTGGATTCCACATTTTGAGCTCATTCCTTGGTTGCACGACCCCATCTATCTATCCGTGTGCGTGTTTCCGTGTGACACATATTGCTATTGGTCTACTTATTTCACTTGCGAATTTGTGAATCTCTTTCAACTTTATTGACTTTTGCTAACATTTGCATCAAATTTTTGTGCCACTATCCTCACCAAGCCCCACCAAGAGCTTTACTTGTGTAGGTGTGTGAATTGACAAGATCCAGTACCAATTGTGATATTTCCTTGCTACACTATTGAGTGATCAGTGATCCATTTTCAACATTGAATAAGGTACATTTGGTCTAGTTCTTTCCTTTCTTTCACTCACATTTGCTCGAGTCTTGTGATGGATAGGC